TTTTCATTGGTTGGCAGAAGTGACCAGTTAGAAAAAATTTTATTACAATACTTATTGTCTATTATATTTTTATAATAAATAAAGAAATTTTGTTTTATATAAATCAAAGGTGTTTTTCACTTCAAATTTAAAATTTCCCTAAACTTTATTTTTTTCAACAACAAATTTCAATGATATTGCCAGCAACCAATTTGATTACCAGAGTTAATTCGTCCACTCATACTTTAATTTTACAATTCTTAGAATCAAACAAGTATAAGAATACTTTGGCAGAATTCTGTAAGGAAGATAATGAAATTATTGAAAATAATCCTTTGACCGCAATTATACAAAATTATATCATAGAGAAAATGAGAAATGATGTAGGGAAATAGATTTGGAAAATTGGTAATAAGAGAATAATAATATTTTTATTAATGACAATTGTAACAGATTAAAATGAAATTGGATTAAAATGAAATTTTTCTATTTTTTAAGCAAAATTTTAAAATTTTTTAGGAGACATTTTTGGGGTTTTTTAGCATTAGGGTTAGGGTTTAGGGTTAGGATTATTAATAAACAAGTAGATGTGGGTTTTATAAGCTTTAAAGGTGAGCAAGAAAGATCACCAGTTTTATTTTAATCTGATTTTATTTTAATCTGCGACAATAATTAATTATAGACTAATTATTTTAATTATTTCGATATAAAATTACAGTAAGATAGACCCAGAAACACTATATATCCTCATTATATCTGCGAAACCTTCTTTCAAATTCATAGTGCAAACATTCTCACTGTTCGTACTCAAAACATTCAACTCACAAATTATAATGATAATGACTGTGAATCCATTCCAATTCCTATGATAATTGTTCGAGCAAAGTTTTTACCAGATGGAAGCATGTTCTTTACTGCCAGTTATGATTATACTTTAAATATTTATAAGTTCTGCAGTTCCTCACACCACATCTTTTTTCTCAGCTAAATTTGTCAATTTCGACTTCTCCACGAATGCCCACAACTCCTTCAACACTACCACTTACACCATCCACACCACTTCCTATATACTCTACAATACATACTATAACCTTTGAATCAAACATTGAATCTCTATGTATTCTTCCAAATTCAAGTTACTTAATCGTAGGAATTCGTGATTCTAATTATCTTCACTACGTTAATCTTCAACATAGATGATCGGGTATCATTTACAGCAATAGATATTGTCGCTAGTCATAGTAAATACTTAATGGTCACAACTGATAATGAAAATGGTAGAATTATCATGTTTAAAACATTTAATACAATCAATTGTAGCATTGATGACCAACAAAATAATATTAACAAGAATGAAGATATTACGTCTTCAATATTGATCCAATTAGCAAACTTTTATGACATACCTTCACCAGAATCGTCCCCAATCTCTTCATCTCCAACAATTCTATCAATCGCTATTCAAAAATTTACATACCCGAGATTACTCTGGTATTCATCAGGAAAATATTTTATGCCTGTGGTATAGATGCCTATCCATGTATCTACTCAATTGAATCCAAAAGATTAGTTGAAAAATTAAAAGGTTATGTAAAAATAATAGTGATTCAAAAATTAGTAATTCAGAATCTGATAATGATAAATTAAGTGGTCACTCTGATGTTGTGCGTGAAATGTGGTATAATGAAGAAAGAGATTTGTTGATTACTTGTGGTTTTGATAAATACGTAAAAATTTGGGGAAGTAATGAATTATGCAGAGAATTGATGAAAGACTTGAAAGAAGGAGAGAAAAAGAGGAATCAAGAGTTTTTTGTGAGAAGGAATACTATTGTTTAATGAATTATAAATGATTTTGTTACTTATAAATTCTTGCCATTATTGTGAATATACCAGAAACATCTTATATATTGATATACAATAATAGCATAAGTGTCCTTTATTTTTTATCAATTTATCAACTTAAATCCAGTCGAAGA